ATGGCCTTGGAACTAATTATAAACACCGGAGAATGTTGCGAACTGATTGTAAAAGTGTCCAACAATCTGTGTACTTTGTTCTTGACGTGGCTTATGTTTTGTGTGTGTAGGTGTAAGTACTAGTCAGAAGGTCTGTCACTGCACCGGCTGGGACTTAGGTCTAGATATGATTTATTGCGCGACAGCTGGTATAATTGAATTCAATACTTCAAACATGTGATCAAAAAATTCAGTTAATCGTGATAAAACATTCTTTTCATAACACCTGATATCAATCAAATGTCATTATTATTTCTAACGTACGTTTCCCTTTTTTAGCTAGCCTATGTGAACATTGTGTGTGATACTTTCAGGAGGAATGATTTCACACATGAGGAACTAGTTGTTAAATGTCTGTAGATGTAAGAAGCGGTAGTCATGACAACATTCGTGTAGAAAGAAATCGATGTTGCAGTAACACGTCAGGTAACGGTTTGAAAAGTTTCTCTGAAACAAAAAAGCTCAAAGATGTGTGGATCGCTTTCAGGTTTGTTCGGTTCTGATAGTCTAAAAACGTGAACATAATTATTTACTGATTGCTATTTCGTTATTTTCAAAGAATTTAATTGGTTCATTTCCTCAAGGCTACGCTGAATCGCGAGGCAGTGAACAATCTGAGATCATGATGTAGCACTGTGAACATAAAGTACAAACTGGATACTCTTTAAAGGGACACTCCGCATAAGGTATTCAGCAGTACCAGCAAATTTCATCCAAGTCCTTCAAAGACCACAGTTTGCCTGCTGGTTCAAAATATCAAGACAATGATAACAGTTAACATGGAAAAAAGACCACAACGCTCTGGCCATTGTGCACCATTAATCTGAGACAAAGCACTTTGGCAAGTTGAGCGCTGTGTTAAGTGTTTGTTCTTCAGCGCATCGCTCAGCAATGCTCCAGCTATATGGTGGCGGTCTGAAATAATCGAGTCTGGACCAGACAATCCAGTGACCAACAGCATGGGCATCGATCTACGCAATTGGGATACGAGTTCGTGTTAGGTGAGGAGGCGTTAGTGTACCATAGTGGTTAAACGTGGTTAGACATACTGAACACCAGGTTCGATTCACAAAGATGACAATATGCAAAGTCCACTCTTAGTGTCCCTTGACGTGATCATGACTTGCCTAATGTTAAACGCAGCGTAAATCACTCAGCCATTGATTACGTTAACCCGAGTATAATATAGTATAATAATCATATTTGCAGAGGAGATCTGTACGTTTTTATAATAACATACATCCGCTGACAACAGCAATAGCAATATTCAGATTTTCCGGTGAGTGAGTGAGTGAGTGAGTGAGTGAGTGAGTTGAGTTTTACGCCGCTTTGTATGCCATTCCAGCAATATCACGGCGGGGGACACCGGAAATGGGCTTCACACATTGTACACATGTGGGGAATCGAATCCGGATCTTTGGTGTTACGACCGAACACTTAGAATAACCACTAGGCAACCCCACCGCCCACGAATGCAGGAACAACAGCCTCCAGCACAACGAGGTGTAGCACATCACAACTCATCTGAAGTCCTGTATCTGGGCCATCTGGCAGCAGACTCCGTGTCCGACCTTGGCCGCCTGTTGTAGATGTTATCACAACCATTGACACTGCTATGTACACGAAGTGCGGGTACAGAATGGTACTTAACGGAAGTTTGAAGTGACAGCCGTTGACGATATACATATGATTCATATCGAAGTGTGCACTCTCAGACACCGGCGATAGATAGATATAGATAAGATGCCGTTTCATGTTTGTTTGTTCCAGCATATATTGTGTGAACTGTGCTTTATTAAAACAATGTAACTTGAGCGTGGTCAGATTCATACTAGTGTCGTTCCATTTCACCACTCTCCAGAACAGTATTCTTGTAAATTAGTAAACTTTCTTGGACGCTGCATCAAAGTGTTACAGTATTCCAGTTGCACCTGGTCTGCTTGGTGGGGGAGGAAAACCCGAAGTGATGCAGCTGTTAGACTTTTAAAAAACTGATGAAAACCATGAGTAAGGATATTGCGCTGGCAAACCAAGAAACGTAGTGACTAGTCAGAGAGCACCAGGATTCGAAACCCATGGTCATCGCTTCCTGACAAAACTAAGGGATGCAACTCCGCACAAACAATTGCTGCACGCCGTACAAGATCAGACGTGTCGGTACTGATGCCTTTTGTGACTGGGACCCAGTCTTCAGTAACCCATGCTTGTCGTAAGAGGCGACTAACGGGATCGGGTGGTCAGGCTCGCTGACTTGGATGACACATGTCATTGTATCCCATATAGCTTCAGTATTGCTGCTTGTGGCGTTAAACAACAAACACACAAAGAAAATGAAAGTGATTATTTATTTAAATAGTTTATCTTCAGCCTCAGCCTCAGCCTTCATCATCACACCTATATCACGAGGGTCTATAAACAGTCGACCATAGTGTTTATGCACCGGCACAGTTACTCACGACCATCTGGTGTTTACGTTGATGACAAACAGTACTAAGTCAGGTTGGCTCTGTTCACTGCGGTTCATTGCCAACAAGTACTACCAACATCGTTTTGTCAGGTATATTAGCCTATGTGTGCCGAACAATAACACCATGCTCCTATTTGTGTTGGCATCTGTTTCTAACAAGTCTCCATACCACAAAACACTCATGCACACGTAAGTTGGCTGCACGAGAAACGTGAGTGTTTTTGTCGTTTCATATTCACCGGTGTATTTTCACATATGTTGTCTGGTTTCATCAACAAATCCAGTAACGAATCAAACATTATCGTGTTAGTTATCCATAACGGAGCCGGAAAGGAAATGGCATTCCCCGATATTTCAAGAGTGAGTGAGTGAGTGAGTGAGTGAGTGAGTGAGTGAGTGAGTGAGTGAGTGGGTGGGTGGGTGGGAGTGAGTGAGTGAGTGAGTGAGTGAGTGGATATGTATTAAGACTTCTACTAGCGAGTGAGTTTTATGCCGCTTAAGCAGTATTCCAGCAATATCACGGGTGGGGAACACCATTAATGGGCAAGCGAACGCTTTTACCACTGGGCTACACAGCTACCGGATTACCATTACCGGATCGTACAATTCTGTACACTCGTGACAATGATCTCGCGGATCTAAACTCTGTCAAAAAAGAAACGCAACCCCTGTCCTCAGATATGAAAAAATCGTTTGAATGAAGTTATTGCTTCCAAACTAAATTTTATTCGAATGTATTGAAATGATACACGTAATTAATGAAGATTACCATCCAAACAACTGCATTTGTACGCATAAGTGTATTTTATTGCTTATTCCGTCACAACGCATGAAATGACCCTCATGGTGACTTCGCACACAAAAAACACATGCAAATCATGAAAATGCCAGTTAATGTAGGGGTGTATAAAAGCCCATGTGGTTCCGTATTATATTCATTCATTTGTCGCCGAAAAGCTGTGTTAAAATGCCACGATTGAGTGCTGCCGACCGAAATATCGCCATTGGTCGTGTTCAAGCCGGAGAAAGTTTTGGAACTGTTGCACGGCACCTAAATGTTCACAAAACAACGATATCCCGACTTTGGAGCCGCTACAACAACTTCAATTTGACCAACGATCGCCCGAGAAGTGGAAGGCCAGAATCACGACCCCCTTCAAGATCGGTACATCCGGGTCCATCACCTGCGTAATCGGCATGCCCTACCAACCGTGACTGCCACACAAATACCAGGTTTGAGGAGAGTGTCAGCTCAAACGATTAGGAACCGTCTGAAAGAAGCGGGTTTACGTGCCTGTAGACCAGTTGTTGGACCTGTACTACGCCCCTACATCGACGCCGACGACTCAGGTGGTGCAACAACGTAAGGATACGGACTTTACAAAACTGGAGGCGAATCTGGTTTTCTGATGAATCACGTTTTCTTTTGCAACGTCACGACGGAAGACAGCGTCTGTATAGGAGACGTCATAAACGTTTTGCGCCCATCTGCGTCCGACAGGTGGACAGATTTGGCGGAGAAAGCGTCATGGTTTGGGAACCATCTCATACAACCAGAAATCAGACTTGGTGATCGTTCCAGGGAACCTGACAGCCCAACGTTACATCAACCACGTGTTAGAGCTTCACCTTCTCCCGATTATTGACCAACAGACACAGATTTTTCAACGGGACAACGCCCGGCCTCATACTGCACGTGCAACAATGAACTTTCTGCAGAATTCCAACGTCAATGTCTTGCCATGACCCTCTACATCACCAGACCTCAACCCTATTGAACACCTGTGGGATACTCTGGATCGACGCGTACGTCAACGTCAGCCGCCGCCACAGACGCTGCAACAGCTCGCCGTTGCACTGCAGGAGGAGTGGAGAGCCATTCCCCAGGAAAGAATCCGGCGTCTTATCCGTTCTTGTCCAAGGAGATGCCGTGCAGTGATTGCAGCGCGTGGTGCTCATACGAGATACTGAGAAAGACGCCCCCCTGGTGACAAACTGGTGTCTGTGAGATGACTTTTGAAATGACAATTTTAAACATGCCCATCTGGGTTATTATTCTGCCAAATTTCAGACTTCTGTCTTAAATAATAAAAATGCCGTGTCGTCCTAAAACTTCAGATCAAAATCTCTAAAATACAGGGGTTGCGTTTCTTTTTTGACAGAGTTTATTTTTCTTTGGTAGATGTTTTTTGTGAAAAACTGGTGTAGTGTCTGACAGATCACTTTGCATTCAATGCTTTCTTTCTTTCAGGTTGCCATGTTTTCTACGGTGCCGCGATTGCGCCCCTTAGATGTGCCAGGACCCTAAATCATGATTGTGGGTTCAAATCCCAGATTCTGTTTCTGATGCTTCTAGGCTTGTTAGCACTCTGCCCGTGCCTGCTCGGGTCAGAACGGTACACCGTGTCTTGAATGCCGTACTATTCGAAGCGGCCTTTTTCACCATTAGGCTTTATCTAAAAGGGAAATATGAAGAAAAATGGTAAAATCTTCTTTGCTTTGAAGTTGCTTTTTATTTACATTTATCCTCTATGACTTCACTCCTACTGCACAATCCGTCAATAAATTAGCTGAATATATTTTACAGTAGACATATACAGTGGTTTAACACAAGGGTGATAAATAACCAATATGCGATACATTTATCCGGTGTAACTGTCGCGAATTATATACAAATGAAAATGGCATCTGACAAAAGAGCCCTCATAAATTTCCCTGAATGTCCAAAAGGAACCGTAAATACCTGGAACAAATACATAACAATAACAAATAAGCGTTGAATACACAACACAAGTTTTCAAGCGTGGTACACGCAGTCGATGTGCAAGGTCGATAACTCTTTCAGCTTTCGGTAGCCTCGTTTGAGATCCATGTGTGACGTCAGTCGTTCACGGAGCCGCTGTTGGCTGGCAGGCCTTGCTGTTGTCTCCAGCACGCCAAGCGATGTCGGAACCATCTCTGAAACAATAAAAAAAAACCCATAAGCGTTAAGTACACATAGAGGCCGGTAATAGGCATGTACTAGCCCAATCAAAAACTGTACACAGTCCATTCATGTCACGTATATAAAGGGACATAACTCTGTGCGTTTTGTTCGTTTCAGTTGGGGGAAACCTTCTGGTTAATTATTTGCGTGTTCCTTCATCGAATTTTTTCCTGTGTGTTATTTTGCATATAGACAATTGACTTGCCTGTACATGTGCCTCAAAGCTATTCGCGAACACCTGGTGTCATCATGTTTTGGTGCTGATTCCTAAACACATGTTTATGATACAGTCGCAATCTACAATAGACCTTAGCAGATTTTTTTATGAACATGGAAAGATTTTTGTCTTTTTTATGTGTTTGCCAGTCGGTTTAAGCGCACTCTTGTGAATATGTTTTGTTGATGAGAAACACTTTTTATGGATAGACAACTTCTTTATTGCAACGGATGCGACGGTTCGGTGTAGATTCTAACACCGTTATCAAGCAAATGATGTAAGGATCTACATCGAAACGTCGCATCTGTTGCAATAAAGACGTTGTCTAACCATAAAAAGTGTTTCTCTTCTTCATACCAGTTTCTAAATGCCACTGAAAAAAATAATATTACATACTGACTGCAAAGGATAAACTAGATCTGGTATAATGTCTATTAGTCAAAACCCATCTCGATTTCATGTATAATGTGTTATTAGTTTTGTTAACGTAACGTATCTAGACGTGAAGGCAAAGTGTCCCCCTCCCCACTTCCGCACCCAACCAAGCATCATAATACACATCCTCAGAGCGATATATCCAAAATCACTGGTGCTGGATGAGCTCATAAACTACGAGCTGTTTTACACCGATTGATTTATTATCCTTCAAAATTCTATACACTGATGATATAAGCATTTTTATAACATAATATCAAAATTCAGATATTCTCTCAGGACGTCGGTGCGACACGGCCTGGAATCTGAACATAACGTAGTCTAGAACCGGTTTGGTATCATGCAATGTGAGATCTGATAGTTCTGAGTAAAACAGCGATCACTTCTACATTGTGGCTACGTCGGTTTGGTTTCGGTGGAACTTGATTTAGAATGATAATCTCAATTGACCTTAAATACACAATGTTAAAATGTTGTTACAATTTTCGTGTAGCTGTAACATTACTAGTTAATGTAGAATTAAAGCTCTTAGGTTTACAATATCTGTGTATGTGTTAAGCACTGTCTGAGCAAGTCTGTGGTAGCTCTATCCGCTCTGGTCGCTTCAAATGCAGTCACTGGGGCTACACGAGAGTCAAGATGTCATGCTGCAGATTATATTCATATAAACTATCTGGTATCTGTCCCACATCCGTCATGGTAGCCGTTCATCACTCTGGTTGCGAGGAGTTTATCTCAAACGTGTCGTATAAATGCATCAAATATCAATAAACGCTTCATGTACGATCCCACCATTCAAGTGAAATATTCTTGCACCGCAGTGTGTAGAATCCTTCCAAATAAACCAAATTCTCACACATCGTCTACTATTATACACTATGGATAAAATACTCTGAAAAAGAATGGTTCACTTTCCTACAATGGTTCACTTTCCTTCCAACGCATATCTGATTGTACGGCAAGAACAAAGTCATGGATGACAGCAAATAAGCTGAAACTGAACGAAGAAAAAACAGAGGTGATGCTGATTGGCACTAAGCAACAGTTGTCCAGAGTAGAAGAACAATCCATTCTGATAGCGGACACGGAAATAGTTCTCAGTGACCACCTTAAAGATCTGGGAGTATTTCTGGACTCACACCTCTCCATGGAGAAACAGGTTACCCACATCAGTAGAACCTGTTATTATCATCTCCGATCCATCAGCAACATTCGACACTTAATAACCGCAGAAGCTGCAAAGGTACTTGCCCATGGTCTAATAACATCAAGACTAGACTACTGCAACAGTTTGCTTCAGGGCATCAGTGGTAAACTGCTATCTAAGCTACAGGTGCTGCAAAATTCTGCTGCACGGGTCATCACAAGAACACCAAGACACGTGCACATGACACCAGTGCTCAGAGACCTCCACTGGTTGCCAGTAAAAGCTAGAATAGAGTTCAAGCTTCTCTGTATCACATATCGATGCCTCCATAACACCAGCCCTGACTATCTATCTGAACTCTTGACTCCACATACTCCAGCACGTAAACTCCGATCAAGTGACCAAAATCTCCTCCAAGTTCCTAAATATCGACTGAAGACATTTGGCTCCAGATCCTTCTCCAGCACTGCCCCTATCCTCTGGAACTCACTTCCATCAGAGTTGAAACTGTGTCCAACTTTTGAGAAATTCAAATCAAGACTAAAGACCCATATGTTCTCCAAGTATCATAGTGACATTTAACTCCACTCAACACTCCCTGACTTTTATCTTTATACATTCCCATTGTAGCGCCTTGAGCAGGCATATCTGTCTGGATTGCGCGCATTATAAATGCACATTTATTATTATTTATTACAATATTTATTAAATCTTCTAAGACTTCATTGTAGGCACTTTGCTTTAAAAGTGCACGTCAGTCCAAGGCTCGCGCTGTGTATAACAGGCCGCCTATGTGGTCCAGTGGGTAGAGCGTCTTCCCTAAGTGGGGAAACTGGGTGGTTCGATTCCCGATCGTTACGCTCGTTGTTGTTATCCTGCCTTGTTACACTCGTCATTAATGGGATAAAACAAGGACGGTCGGCTCGGCGTCAGTACACTCTGTCTGAGGGAAGTATCCCTTAATGGACAAGCAATATTAACTTCGGACTAGTACAAGCAAACCACACACACATACACACGAACGCGAACACGCACACGCACACGCACACACATGCACCTTGCTATAAGGGTCCATAACTCTTCCATCTCACCTCAGAACACAACCAGATTTAGCTGTTTTTAAATCAAATCTAAAAACCTGTCTCTTTACTGAAATATTTTAACTCTATGATATCAAGACCATCTTAGAGCCTTTGAGTGGTTTACGGATACTGGTGCTATACAAGTATTTGTATGTATGTTTGTATGTACTCTTAAACACGACGTTAATGCCCATTTCACTTCCTTCACAACTAATCCCGTGAACATCCAGGTTAGAATGGGTCACTAACCCATGCTTGTCGTAAGAGGTGAGTAACGGGTTCGGGTGGTCAGTCCCGCGGACTTCCTTCTTTCTTATCATTACGTAGATCAGAGCGCATGATGTCAGTCACTGGATTGTCTGGTCCAGGCTCGATTATTTACAAACTGCAGTCATGTGTCTAAAGTGAGTGCTGCGTTAAACAAACAAACACCATCACGAACAGACACATAGACTAACGCTTAGTCTCTGAATATATATAATTTGAAATAAACCCATTTAAACTGAAAAGGAGCCCCAGTGAGATTGGAGATTCAGAACCTGAGGAAATCTAGACTTGATTCATTTAGGACTTTAGCATTCGGGGAGGGCCAAGCAGTAGGGAAAATAATGTGGTTCGGGGACTGTGAGACAGACTAACAGACACACTGTTCCAAACAGAGAAAAATCCAACTCTCACTGAACTGTTATGAAGTGTATATTTCTGACCATCAGTTTTGACGAAGGCGCGGTCGCGACTCCCGTGTTATAAATGTCATGAGAATCGATCACAACCGACTTTCGTGACCCAAGCCATGTTCACTCACAATACAAAGACGCTATACAAATATCATACAAATCAATCGGCTATTCAAAGAGTGATGACGTAACATTTATAGCCCCTCGATGCGGTGATAAATCACGACACAGAAATTGACGTGCCACTTTACAATATTTTACGAGCAATTGAAGTCATAGATTGTACCACCCGTTTATAGACACCAAAATGGGCAGCGAAGGTAATATCATAACCCTATATAAATATATTCTATTTGGTGTACGGGCGTGGTTCGATCGAGGGCGTGGGTACTAGGCGTGAAGCTATGTACGTGTTGTACAAACAAATCAACTATCATTCAGGGCAAGGCACAATATATTAGTTTTCCCAGGTGAATAGACCAGTGAAGGTCCGGGTTAGATTGGTCTTCAGCAAGCCACCCTTGCCGTAATAGACGACTAACGGGATCGGGTGGTCAGGCTCATCGACTTGGCTGACACATGACACCGTGTCCAAATTGTGCAGATCGATGCTCATGCTGTTGATCACTGGATTGTCTGGTCCACTCGATTATTCTACATACCGCCGCCAATTGGCTGGAATATGGCTGAGAGGGGCATAACACAACAAACCACTAACCAACTCGGGTGAACAGAGGCGTTTAACCCCACGGACACACCCTTTAACACAACCTATGAGCAGAAAGTTCCATAATAGAGTACATTTACTACAACAAGTCTCATGCTACATCTACACAACACAACAGTTTTGCTTGTTTCTTCCTCATCAGCGGGTTGTAAATTTTTTAAAACAAACACCTCAGGAGTGACATTTCCGACAGCCGTGGATATTTATTGATAGATTAATCCTCAGCGTAAACCCATAAAACGACCCCCAACATAGAACGCCCGGTTTATCCAGCACTTATCCTAACATTAAACATCGTAGACATCACGTTTAATTAACGCCTGACAAGGGAGGTAATCAAGCAAGTGATGATTTCTCCGATAGACAGCAATGTACACCTGATTGAAGATTTGACAGTCATGACCCTTGACGATCGAGGTCAGTGTTCACAGGCAGCGATATCAATGTTAGCGTTTCGTGAACCATATATCCCTTTCCGCTATCGGTGATAAGGGTGAGGTGGTTAAACAGTTCCGTATACTGTCGTACGGCAACGTCATGATGCTGCTAGGGGGCTGGTGGGTAGCCTAGTGGTTAAAAGGTTCGGTCGTCACGCCCAAGACCCGGGTTCGATTCCCAGTAGGATACAATGTGGGAAGCCCATATTCATATTCATATTCAACCATATTCACTCACTGACTAATATTA